ATCCTGTATCGCCAAACGAAGACCGCCAATGTAACGTGAAATCAGCTGGTCGGTCGTCTCCCGCACATCCAATCGCGTGAGTAGTCGATAGAATTTGTCTGTATAATCATTAACGGAACCTTGGCCCTGCCGTAAATTTTGAAATTGCATAAACAGTGAGCGCATGTAATTAAATGGAAGAAACTCACGTTCCAAGTGTTTGCGAAATTTATTCCAAGAAGTGATCTTGGATTTTCCAAGCCTCCGTCGCGACGCCTTGAGTTGGCTCCACCACGCGGCAGCCCGGTCCCTTAAACGAGTCGCGACGAGAGCAACGCGAGAGTCTTCCGGAACCTCCTTAAAGTCGAGAGCGGATTCGACAGCGGCCATCCAATCCAAGAATTCAGACGCTTCTAGGCCGCCTGTGAATTCGGGAATATCAACCCTGAACGAGGACTTCCAACGCGCGTCTGCAGCCGGAACTTCGTCGCCCAGGTCTGGATGTCCAAAGGGGTTCAAATCGGAGACGGTGTCGTCCTCCTCCTCACCATCACCGTCCCAAGAAATTGGCGATCGTCCGCGAGGTCCTGCTCGTCCCCCACGGCCCCGACCCTCGTGTTGTCCCCCGGGCCGTCCGCCTCGGTCCCGGTTCATGTGGTTGCCGTTTCTGCCGGTATTGACGGCCACCGTCAACTCCTCGACCCTCGCGGTTAACGTCTCCATGAGTCGTTCGGATGCTTCACAACGACGAAAGAGGGCTTCGATCGCGGCATCCCGATGCTCATCGACGTTGTTATTCCGCTTCGGAGGCATCGCGGATCGTGGCTGGTCACTGATACCAACTGACGCAGCAAGAAGCACAAAGGAACAAGATTTAATTTTTACGAACTGAAGTTGTAATATTTTTCACTGCTGAAAATGATTTCATCAGTACAGATAAATAGATAAGAGTCCTTCTTATCATGAGAGTCCTTATTCTCCTAACCTCATGATAATAGATAAAATCTACTAATAATTAAAAATCCTACCTTCTAGAAGAATAAAAATAAAAGATAAGAAAATAATGCGAATAGTTGTAAATAAGCATAAATAACTTAAACTAATGACGCCAACCGCTCGTGCCGATCCAAGAAAGCGAGTGCAATCTCGTCTTCATCAGTTGTTTTGTGAATTGTATTTTGATATCTCTTTTTTAGGAGGAGCTTGTTTTCTGTTCTGGGGAGTTTGTGTTATTTTCTTGTGGGGAGTTGTGTTATTCTCCTTTGGAAAGTTTTTGTATTTTTCTGTGAGGAGCTTTTATTTTCTTGTTGGTTTTGTAGTGTGCATTGCGGTATTTAAGCTGCCTTTAGTAGTCCTCTTATTCCGACTTGTGAGCCAGTTGTAATTATGTGTTTTATGAATGAATTATACCGTTCGAAAAAAAAAAAAAAAAAATCGTGGGCCAGCCTCCTCGCATATTATTTGATGTACAAACAATGTGTCGGGATTTGATATTCAACTCCTATAGACCAATTCAAATGTTAATTTGTTCGGTAAAAAGCTACTATCCACGAGTAATTTATCAACAAGTTAATTAATTAAAAGTAGCTTCCACATCAATTTTGTAAAGGAGCAATGGATAAAGTCCTTTGATTTCTTTATAGATAAAGCAAGAAAATGGAGACCAATGTTTCGGCGTTTCTCATCTCATTGTCCATACTATTATTTATTTTAATGCAAATGCTAATCTTTCGAGACATGATTGGATTTTGGGTCATTTAAAAATAAAAAATTAGCAATAATTTTCTTTGCCAAGGAACAGACAATTATTAATGACTGAAAATCATGCCATTGTATGGGCAAGTATAATAACAAACAGAACATGTCATTGAATCGGTGAAGTTATTTGTTTTATCATCAATTTTGGGCTTCTAGAGTTAATTTTAGAGAAATTTACTTACCCTATGGTTTAAATTAAAAATTCCGTAAAAAATACAAAATTGAGATCATCTATATCTATCTATATCTATATCTATCTATCTTCTATACTATTATAAAAGTGTCGATGAATCTGTAAAAATATGATATTCCTAAATTACCCTTATTTTGTCAAACTAATTTTGTAGTTTGATATTGATAATAAGACTAATCCTTCGAATTATTTACCCCAAATACGAATAATCTGCCCCAACAAAATCCTCTGTCGATCTACACGAAATCGGTCGACTTCCTCCATCGATCAACGATTCTTCTCGACTGGAAAACACAAGGGTTAATTTAGGAATCGGAGTTTCTTTTTCAGGGTTTTACCGGTTCACCGACCGAGATAAGAAGACGGAGAGGGAGAATGAGACAAATGCGAGATTTTGGCCTGCACTTGGAATTTCGACCGACGACGGCAGAGGATCAGTATGTTGTTTCATGTTTTCAGTTGATTTTACGTTAATTTGGCTGCCACAAACTGTTCGTCATTAACAATGAATGATTTATTAACAATTGTTTGCATGTAATTTTTTCCTTTCCATTGTTTGTATATGCAATTCTAGGATGATCTTCTTAGTTAAAAATTGAATATTAGAGTCACTGATTGATCTCTTGAGGTGGTCAGGTTAAAGTTCTTTGTTGAAAAAGAGTGTTTGTGTTTAAAAGAAAAAATAGAGAAGAAAGTACAAAGGGCAGAGGCGATAATGTGACTTGTTATAACTGCGAGCATTTATATATAGGCATGGATGAGACATACACTGCAGTTCAATCGATGTATAGTTGTGTTTTGATTTCCCTTACTTGCCGAATAAGGAACAACTCCAGGAATTGGCCACAACCTATCAATAAATTTTTTGATGTTGCATTTGTAATCCCAGCTTGGCCACTTAATTAATGTCCAAGACTTGGAGTCGAGCCCGATTTGTGGGACACTTCTGTTAGATTTAGATAGTAAATTTGTGTTTGTTATAGAATAATTTTTCTGTTAGATTTAGATTGGGGATCTCAACACGCGACAGTTTAGTGCTGCTGCTATTTTTGGCGCGGGTGATAATATTTTCAATTTGTAGGTCTTTATATCATATTGGTGTTTTATACAAAATGTGTATTAATCCTTTTGGTAGGTACAGTGTTGTAGAATTATAGAAGTTGGTATCTTTTATGATCATAATTCTCTGCCAAGTATCATACTGAATTGAATTGTGATGCCTTTACCAATACATTAATTAATATATTTTTTACATAAAGAAAAAGCAAAACGTGCTCTTCAAGACGTGGCAGGGTTATTGCTATAGCATGAATAAAAGAATGTGTAATCAACAAGCATTCATAATTCGTACTCATGCTGCAAGCAACTGCCCGAGCTTGATTTTTTTTTTTTTATTGTGGTTAAAAATATCCCTCAGGTTATGTCTGGTTAAAATATGTTCCTCAGCTCTCTTTCAAAATTATATACCACATTTACACCATAAAGGCATAAACATGAAATGTTACGAAACTTGAAATGGCAGGGATGAAAAGGCAATTGTCCTCCCAAATGTTGTAAAGTTAATTTAGGGATTCTTGGATAACTATTAAAGTTGCGAGGGTGGAAAAGGGAAGTCTGAATCAGGCTAAGCAGACAAGACATTTTTCATTTGGAATGAAACTAAATGAGTAGTTTCCACTTTGATGACCTTATCTTTCCACAAATAAGAATTTATCATACTACCCCATCTAGGCATCGTATTTTCTACAGAATATATTTATTTTCTGAACTTGTTTATTATTTCTTCTTGTTCTGACTATGTGTTTTTTACCAATGTTTCATAGGTCTATTTCTGTAAATGTGTTTGTGACACTTACGGTCAATTGTGCTTATTACTTGTACAATAAATCAAATATTGTGCATCTGGTTTGCATGCATATCATCTCGCATCAAGAAAGGGTCTTATTAGGTCATGATGAAGTATATAAAAGTTAACTTATCCACTCATTGGTTAAATTATCACAATCCGTTGAAGGAGCACAGGTTCACCCAGGAGAAGCTTCAGCTGCTGCGTGATATAACCGGCGCATTCAGGCTGGGCGTGCTCACGGCACTCATGGGTGTGAGTGGTGTCGGAAAGACCACTCTTTTCGATGTACTTTCTGGCAGGAAAACAACCAGCACCGTTGAGGGAGTCCAGAGCACGTTTACCCGTATTTCCGGCTACTGGATCATGGTTTCAGAGTGTGCAATTTATAATGATATTACCATGTTCATATTGTAATTAACCAATACCTCAAGGGTACATTCGGTAATCATGTCCCTGAGGAGAATGAGGATTACGTTAGGCAGAGCATGGTGGTCGATCATGTTAAGAAGACAGAGGCTTGGAAGAGGTCCGGTGGCAGAGATCATATGTTCGTTCTCACAGGTAATTTTGTTCAGGGCCAGTTAAATAAAATGCCTCTTATATTTAGCTTGGTTACAGAAGATCTACAAATTAGTTTGTCTAGAGGGAATATGTTTATCGACCTTCATGGTCTGCACGTGAGTGAAGGCATTCATGTGCTTAAGCGTGAGCTAGCCGTAATGAGAAATGTAGCCAGGTCAATTGACCAACGCTTGCTTGTCTACATATATGTGGAGACTGGTCACCATACAAGAGGTTCATGTACTCTAGCTCGACTACTAATTGTTGTCCAAAGATACCTTCTAGAAGAAGAGGATCTCGACTTTACTGAGCCTCTGCCGGGGCTCCTTCGAGTCGTGGTATAATAAATCAGGAAGGTATAGGAATTTTTGTCATAGTATGGGGGAAAAGATTGAAAAACAAAAAGAAAATGAAAAAGAGGAATCTATTGTATCTGTAAATAGGAAAGTTGTCTAGGATAATTCTGCAGATGGGTAAAAAGTAAAAGAATGAAAACACAAAAGATGTTGGGTCAGAGGAAGAGGCTCAGATGTCTGTACTACTAATACTGTGAAGTTGGCCCAAGTTTTAGAGTATGTTTTTGTGCTGCAACTGATTTACCTTTATTGATAGGCCTATTTTTGTTGATGTTTGTACTTTACTCAAATTCTTTTTGAGTTTCAATTTTTTTCATCATATACAGATGTAACTAAGAATTCTTGCAGCTGGAAGTTTTTTTAGATTGATTTTTTAATTATCTCTACTGAAGAAGAAATGTACAAAAAAAGTACAAAAACAAAAGGAAGTAAACCATCTCCATTCGTCAATATAAAGAAGGAGAAGAATTTAAGCAACGGTAAATCACATTAGTTTATTATTTAGTTAATTTTCTATCTTATAGACAATTTGATTTTACATAGTAAGTTATTTGACTTTTTATTCGAATTTGGAAAACATTGGCTTTTAGTAATACACTAATGCCATCATATCTTATATCATCCCTATATATAATTAAAAAAAATAAAAAACATAACTTTTATCAATTCAACATAAGCAAATCAATGAAAATAATATATTTTTAAAAATTTTATGAACAAAAGTTGACTCGACAATGTTATTAATGAATTTATGAATTGTAAATATTCAATTAAAAAATTGTAATTATATATAATATAATATAGAATATACAAATATTTGATATATAATGAGACAGATGATCGAAAAAATTCTATACTTTATATTATGTCTTTTTTGACAAATTTACAGTTAAGAACATGTGAAAGAACAAGGTAAAGTTTTAAAAAAAATTAAATATAATAAATAATATGAATAATAACTAAGTTGTGACACGTACTAATAAATATAAAGAAAACTAATAAACGAAAATAATATAATTAATATAACTAAATATAAACCTTCTAAAAATATACTTATCGATGTAATCGAACTGAGTTGTTAAACGCTTGTTAGTTT